TTTTCACCTGATAAGTCCGGTCTATGGCTGCATTTTTTGCATAGGTCCTTTCTGATTTTTTTCTTATCGTATATTGAAGTTCCCGTGAAGCGTCGGGTCTATGAGAGGGTCCCGGTAGGGGCTCATCCCCACCCCCTATCATAACAGGTGACTGAGGGCTCCACTCCCCGTCTTCCACACAAGCGTTAGCTGTAGCTTCCATTTCCTCATCAAATAATAGTGATTTCACTGCACCTTCTATCTCCTCCTGCTCTTTTACGTAATCTAGGGCTAGCTCTAGATTTTCTTCATCGAGTAACCCTCCTAAACTGTGCAGTATAGTGTCTAGTTCCTCCTCCACAAACTCATCATCGTACTGGGGGTTCCTCAATTGAAATAAACGAAACCGCACCCCAGGGGAATCCTGTATCCCCCATGTCGCAGCAAAATTCATTAATTCGTCAGCGTCGGTGAAAGAATTCACCATTATTTCGAAGGTAGCTGCAATATTTTCCATGTTACTTGTTCGAGTTCTGAAATCAGAATGACGACGGGAGCTCGTGCGTGTTGTTATATACTCTCCACAGTGCCTCGTTTTTAAAACGAGTAAGGTATTTTATATTAAGTAAATAAAAACGTCATCAGTCTGAATGCTAATTGGTTAAATAAATATAGCAATACCGGTTCAAACTAGTTAAAAGCAAGCACAAAACTTTTTGTGAGAGATATTAAATCTTTGTCAATATCTTTATTGATAAAATCAATGTCCATTATACCGCATTTGAGTTTATATAAACAAACGCCAAACAGCGCGGAGACTTTAAAGGGATTAATTTTGACATATGAATAGACCATTGTTAAAGTATTCGTCCCTAAATAAACAAGACGCCAAACATCGCGGCGACTTTAAAGGGATTAATTTTGACAGTTAAATGAACCTTTGTTAAAGTTTCCGTCCTTAAATAAACACAAGCCAAATAATGTAAACAAGTTAGGCTTGGCACTTGAATAGACCATTGTTAAAATATTCGTCCCTAAATAAACACACGCCAAACAGCGTGGCAACTTTAAAGGGATTAATTTTAACAGTTGAATGGACCATTGTCCGCACATCTGCTCTTAAATCAACATACGCCAACATTGTTGACATTCTGAATGGATTAATTTTGACACCTGAATAGCCTTTTGTCCGTTTTTTAAATTAGCTAATGAGGTCACTAGAACCGGTCATGCGTATTTAGGAATACAAAAAACTTGAAAGAGTCATTTCGTTGCGGAACGCCGAAAAGTCAACATCGTATGTATGTATTTTACGCAAATATTTATTAAATTATTTTACAGTAAAAGTCCTTATTATTATCTTATATAGAAACATTATTTGACTGACTCATAATATCGAATTAAATTGAAAATTAATTTCATATATTTTGTTATATGTTAAAAAAGTTTATGAAGAAACACATTTAAATTAATTAATTGTCTTATTCATTGTATTATAAAGAGTCAATTAGTCAGTCAGTTTTCAATTATATCTTATTACTAACGCATTTTCTTTTATTTGGAATGTTTATAAAAAAAAACACATTTGAAATAATATTTTGATATTTAATCAGTTTTTAATACAACTTTTTATTAAAAATGATATATGAATAATACAAACTATTATTCAAATACAAAATGTCCTAATTGGAAGGTAAGTCATTTTATTCATATTTTTTATGGATATAATTTTCATTTGAAATGTTATCTCCCCGTCTAGGGCCGAGGACCTGACCTTCAATGTCCGCGATTCAAGCCCTAAATCGTGTATACGAGTCAGCTCCGTATACTTCTGGGAGTTTCAAAATAGATTTCTAAAAATAGAACGATGATGTCAGTCTAAAAATAGAATCCAATATGGCGCAGCGCATGCGCAGTCGTGCCCCCAAAGTGGCCCCTATACTACTACTCATGCCATCATTTATTTATATATTTAAACGTTTTTTTATATATAATTTATGAATATCCAAATGTAAATATATTTGCTACCGGCAATAATTTACATGAATATACAGTCTACATAACAAAAATCAAAAATATAAACATTTTGTCACTCATGCCATCATCTATTTATTTATTTATTTATTTAAACGTTATTTATATATAATATTATATTATTTATTGAATGTTCTGATTTTATCAACTATTAATATTCAAATTGTATTCTCTTTTTGACTTGCAATAACAGGCAGATAGAATATTTATATCACGGATTGAAAAGCCGCGGTAAAGAGAAGAAATACTTAGATATTCACTATAAAAAAATGAAAGATGCCAAAGTTGCTGCATGCAATTTACGGATGATTGAATGCGTACTCGAAGCGGCACCGCAGCTTGTACTACAAATATACGTGTATATCTTAACGTCACATACACAACATGAATCTTGGCACATAGGTAAACTCTCGTACAATAAAGTTAACGTTTTTTACATAATTTTGTATCCTTTATTAATTTTATTAGTGATTTCTTTAGAGGGACCGATTAGTTCGTTAGATCACGCATTATAATGGCTTGTCCACTCTCTTTCTACTGTCCGTAAAGTTATCCAGTTGGCATTTGCTGTACATTAGCATGATTCCCGAGTTAAAAATTGCAAATCAATAACCGTTATATTATTTTGAATTGCATGGATGCCTTGTTTGCTCAAAAATCTAAACAATGACTGTTTATTTTTATTTAAAAGAAACTGCTAATAACAAGTGAATGTGCAATCATATACACGCACGACTGTACAATCAGACACACACTAAACCAATCACAATGTACAATCACTTACTCAACCAATCACAATGTACACTTTTCTTGAGAAATTAAACAGATTGGGTCTAGCACTTTTTTAACATAAGGTGTTGGAATTTTGTTGCATTGGATCTTTGTTACCTCAGACAATTATTGTCATAATACAGACAGACACAAATTTGACCTCTTTGGCCATATAATCCACGTAAAATTGTGTCTAAATATTGTCTATTTTTATTAAAAAGTAGATATTTTAGAGATTATTTTTAACAGTTTTACAGTCTCATGTAACTCCTTATGTAGGAGTGGCTTTGTGTTATGTAACAATTTTTGTTTTGTTTTATTTCTTAACCCATTACTTCATGAGCATTTTGTGAAAAATGGCTGTTTTCATTGAAAAGTCTCCCGTTACAAGTTCAAATTGCTATAATACTATAAAAACTGCTTCAACACTAATCAAACTTGGCACAAATGTTGACTGGACCATTGCCCTTGCAACAACATACTCAGGCTTACATTTTCTGTTACCATGGCAACGAGGGGACATCTCAAAATTGCCAAAAATCACTATTTTGCGTTGATTTTTTCCATCACAATTGATTTCAAAGTCCTGCAACTTCTCAATGGATTGAGATGGAGTCAAATGCTTTTAAGCGTTGGTTACACGTTACCTTATGATCAATCTGGGGTCATTTACAGCCTCTCACAAGTCCAAAGTTTTCCTGGCGATGAGGGGGACTCCGCCCCCCTTCAAACCCCCCAAACAGAAGGGGGCACAACCCCCTTCTGGCAACCCCCTGATGTATCTTTTGGTTGGGGGGCCGCGCCGAAAAAGAGGTCACTTTTTTAACAACATTTCTCAAACAAAAACAAGTGTTTGGGGCCTAAATAAGGCATTTTTTCATCATTTGAGACAACAAAAAAAGGGGGGGTGAAAAAGGCGTTAAAAGGCGTGTATATGAAGTAATGGGTTAAATATAATTATGTTAAGATGCACAAAGATGAGACTTTAATAAAATATTTTAGTTGAGTTAATAGGCAAGATACTTAGTACATTGTTTTCAAATGTTTAATTTGAACGCACAGTTAGGATAACACATTTCTCTATATGTATTAATAACAAATAGAATTCAAATTACCTTGCTGTGCTAATTTAGATGTAGTTGGTGGTAAAAATTGCAGGTAACTACATTTATTACAATAATGATTCTTATTCTTCAGAGGGAAGACAAGTAGCTGCAATATTGTCATCATTTGTGGGTCTAGCCTGGTCATATGTTGCATTCGAAAAGGTCATTAGGTTGATTTCATACAAGGAAAATAGTAAATTAAAAGGACTGGTCTTCTTGTTTTTATGTCGTGTTTCTGAAATAGTACCTAGAGTTATTGCACTTGGTTTATTTGCTTCGCAGTTTCACTTTTTCGTGTTTATTGTGACAGGTATTCACTTTATCTCAATGTCGATCTGGTTTTCCTTTAGGAAGGAACGTTCGGTTGAGAATATATTGCTTTATCTTCTGTATAGATTAGGTTTTATATTTTGCTTTATGAAATACGAATATCATACCAAAAACTATAAAGTGCTAGTTTACTACATCATTACCTATTTAGAAAATTTTATAATGGTTGGTTTCTGGTCTTACTTCACCGATGCCAAAGGAGAGTGGTTTTATATACCAACGTTTTTTGTTATGCCTCTAGGATTAGTGTTGTGGCTGTTTTCTGGGCTCATGTACTTTGGATATTTCCATCCTTCAGGTGAAAGAAAAATACCGTTCTTTTCTCAAATGGGAATAAACTCGTGTTACCAATATTTGTGTCATGACTCTTGATTAAAAATGACGAAATAAATACCATATAAAACAACATTATTTAAACATTAAGGAAAAGACATTATTTCGATTTTATATTTATAATGCACTCATTTTTTCCATATCTCTTTTTTAATCAAAGCTTTCGCATGAAATTATTTTGGGGCCTCAATTGGGTCACCCCGTTTATTTACCACGTATTAAGTATGAGGGAAACGGTGTCATCCCAGTCATACCTTTTTTGAATACACAAAGTATATTTTATATGATAATTGTGTTTATATAAATGATATCCTTTGATCACATATGTCATTCTAATTTTAAGCGGTTTTTAAAACCAATACAAGTAAGTAAGTTTTTTTACTCTTTTCTATTTTAAAAACAATAAGCAATGCTTAAATCCTTAGTATGAATGATTTACAACAGAAAACATCATATCAAAATTATTTCAGTTCTCTCAGATATAAATACGCTTTAAATTTTGTGACATTCCCATAATAAATGTAAAACTGTTTATTAGTAGCAGTTACAAAAAGTACTTATTTTGTTGTAAACAATTTTCATTTTAAACAAAAGGAAATTTGTTGCTAAAGTTCTAAGCTTTTGTATGGATAATTTTATTCCCTGTTTTAAGCTTCATGTTATTGAAAGAAAATCACAGGTTTGCGCGTAACCTGATCTAAATATATAAGAATGGAATACAGCGATTGAAAACAGTTTAGTATTGGATTTAAACAACACTATCACTACTCTCCTGCGCATCGGTCGAATGTTCCACTATCGCTCACGTCTTACCTCATGAAAATTACTTTATTTTACCAAAACACTTTAGATTTTTATTACAAGATAATTCACTGATAATTCAAACTGGGAGGTATGGTCAAAATAGATTGCCACATAATGAAATATATTGTCTTTGCTGTAACAATGTTGATATAGAGGACAGTTACCATTTCTTATTGATATGCTCATGTTTCTTAGAAATTAGAAAAAGGTTTATTAAAAAACATATGACTTTAAATGACCTTCCATGACAAAGTTTATTGAACTACTATGTAACAATCAAAATGTTATATTATTTAATCTGGAAAAATATATAAAATAATCATTAAATTACAGAAATACTAATATTATTGTTAATTCTGTCAGATAAATTTGATTAATGAATATATATATCCGTATTAAAGAATATACAAATTCCATTTAACATTTTATGTAATGTGATGATATGTCTGTTATGCAAACATGTATATTTAATTACGTTTAAAACAGAATAATTATGTTCAACAGTATGATATCATTTTTTGTTGATTTGAAATAACGTTCTAGAATAATTACTAACGTCATTACAATGTAATGTGACATTGTCTTTAAAGTTTGTTTTAATTCATTGAAAATTAGTATTGAAAATGTTTTGTTTATGCATTTCTATCAATGTATTATCACACTTTGTATGATTATGTACTATGTACAAGTCAAAATAAAATAATGTTCTGTTCTGTTCTGAATATACAAATATACAAAATCACCCTATACTTATTTCCTACTAAAATGTTGTGATTGCAAAATAGTGGCATACGTAATACTTGTTTTACATTATATCTACACACACTTGAAAAGATTTAAAAACATCAATGCAGAAAGCGTTTCTTATTTGATTAATCTTTTGCATGATATTTATATTGAAGTGAAATCGTGAATGTTTTATTAATACGATGAGTGTGAAAAAAAAAGGATTTTAAAATGATGATACTAGGTTTCTAAGCCATAATATAATACACACACTGGCCATAGATTTCGCAGAAGCGGTGGGTCCGTCGCAGCGGCGGTGGAGTATTCGTCGCAGAAGCGGTGGATAAAATATGACCGTTTGCTGTTGTCGGTAAGTATATGACTGAATTTGTTTTATGTTTAAATTTTTAGTGAGACAGGACCCCACATATGCACTCTTTCAACCTATTACACGGACACGGTGCAATTCATTGCCGTTTATGCAAAAACTGCTGTACAGTTTGACGGAGGGACGCCACGTTTGCCTAATTTTGGTTAAAAAACATACAAATGTGTTCAAAACGACCACATAATACAACGGCATCACATCGAATGAATGATACTTTCACAAATTAACCATATATATAATTTGGAAAATTGGGAAATTATTATTGCCTGTTTGTAAAATAAATTACAAAAAATGTTTTCGTCGCAGACGGCAGTGGATTCGATTGAAACGCAGTGTGGTGGGTCCGATACCATTTTTTGTACATTTTAAGAATTTAACTTGACGTAACTCACTTTTCAATTGAGTACAGTCCTTTTCTTACTTTGACATCTGATCAACGTGTTTATTTGATGTTTAAAGCGATATTTATTATTATATATACGCTCCTACAAATATATGTCCGAGTTCCGCTTTCATTTTCCTTCCATTAAAAATTTTTTAGGGCTTTTTTAAATTAAAAAAAAAGGGGGGTTTTGGAAACAAAAAAAAAAACCCCTTTTTTAAAAATTTAAAAAAAATTTTTTTTTTTGGGGGGGTTTTTTTTTTGGGGGGGGGGAAAAAAACCCAAAATTTTCTTTTCCCCCCTTTTTTAAAAAAAAAAAAAATTTTTGGGTTTTTTTTTTTTTTTTTCCCTTTTTTTTTTTTTAAAAAAAATTTTTTTTAAAAAAATTTTTTAAAAAAAATTTTTTTGGGGGAAAATTTTTTTTTTAAAAAATTTTAAATAAAAACCCTTTTTTTTTAAAAAGGGGCCCCCAAAGGGGGGAAAAAATTTTGGGGAAAAAAAAACCCCCCCCCCCAAAAAAAAAATTTTTTTTTTTTTTTTAAAATTAAAAAGGGGAAAGGGCCCCGGGCCCCCAAAAAAAAAACCCCGGGGGGCCCCCCTTTTTGGTTTTTTTTTTTTTAAAAAAAAGGGGGGGGGGGGTTTTTTTGGGGGGAAAAAAATTTTTTTCCCCCCCAAAAAACCCCCCAAATTTTTTTTTCCCCAAAAAAATTTTTAATCCCCAAAAAAAAATTTTTTGAAAAAAAAAATTTTTCCTTGGCCCATTAATTTTAAAACCAAAGGGGGGGGCCCCCCTTTTTTTTTTTTTTTTTGGGGCCCCAAAAAAATTTTTTTTTCCCAAAATCCCCCGGGTTTTTTGTAAAAAAATTTTTTAAAAAAAAAGGGCCGTTTATATACGGCCATATAACCTGTTGGATTTATTTATAACGAACTCATAATACATCAAGCATTTTTGTTAGAGAAAAATGAGATTAATTTCATAAATCGACGGCAGTCATGTATTTCAAAAAGTACATTGTATGTACATAAACCTCACGATTATCCAATGAAAAGTGACGTAACAAACGTGCAGTATAATAAAGACATAAACGCAAAATTAAGGAGGTTCAATATAGTTATATTCTTTAAATTAAGCATGATGCTAGAATGTGATAACAGAAACATTTAAAGCGAAAGTTAGGGGTCACCGATCTCATTTTCTGTATGTGAATTTGATTTTTCCTTAATCGGGGTTATTTCAAGGTCATATAACTTAGGTAAGATATAAGTCTGAAAAATCTTTCTTTTTTTTACGCGCTTGTTATGTTCTTCACTATAATTATGTACACTTACAAGAAAGACTTAATTCCAAAAAATATTTCTATTACCTTTTTTTAAATTTCATTTCATACTTTAAAATTCATTAAAAATATACCATATTTGCAGGTCTTTACAAAAAAGTAATACAGAAAACTTTTCCTTAAATAACTTCTTACGCTGTAAAAATAAAATTTATTTATTGCATGCTTTTCGGTGGTTTATAGAAATATATCAGTGATATAAATCTGGTAATTTCACTGTTTGAAACAGTGAAATTACCACTTTGATAATTTCACTGTTTTGAATTTAAGCCCCTTACGTTGTTGCAGTGAAATACCAGCTTGCACAGTACTGGGTACCAACTTAATGACGTGACGTCGTAAATGACGTCACATTGTATCATTATTTGGCGCGCTTTTCATTCAGTATTAGGTTTAATGTCTTTTTAAAACGTTTTTTTTTTTTTTTTTTGCATTTAATAAAAAGAAAATTTGTTTAGTTTAGTGTAAGATCGAAATTTATTTCACCTTGTGAACACCAAAAGTTCATATTTCACTCGTGGCTGCGCCACTCGTGAAATATACCTTTTTGTGCTCACTCAGTGAAATATATTCCGATCTTACACTGAACTAAACAAATATCCTCTATTTAAATTGGTGTTCTCAGTATATGGTAATATAACACAGTGACATTGAAAACTGAGGTTGTTTTTCGTATTCAAGAAGCATGTTCTGTTTATCATTACGAGTATCTATTTTATGTCTGTATGACTTAAACATTGTTGAACCTAGAACTTACGGTTTTTCAAGTCCAAGGGTGAACGCGGATTATTCTATGATAATTATGGCTGAAGTAATTTTCTATGGAAGGAAAATGAAAGCGGACCTCGGACATACGTATATTTGTACAAGCGTATATATACTAATTAATATCGTTTTAAACATCAATTAATAACGTTTCTCAGATGTCAAAGTAAGTAAAGGACTGTACTCAATTGAAAAGTGAGTTACATCAATTTAAATTCTAAAAATATACAAAAATGGTATCGGGCCCACCGTACTGCGTTGCAATCGAATCGACCGCCGTCTGCGACGAAAACATTTTCTGTCATTTATTTTATAAACAGGCAATAATAATTTCCCAATTTTCAAAAATTATGGTTAATTTTTGAAAGTATCATTCATTCGATGTGATGTCGATGTATTATGGGGTCGTTTTGTACACATTTGTATGTGTTTTAACCAAAATTAGGCAAAAGTGGCGTCCCTCCGTCAAACTGTAACAGAAGTTTTTGCATAAACGGCAATGAATTGCACCGTGTCCGTGTAATAGGTTGAAAGAGTGCATATGTGGGGTCCTGTCTCACTGAGTGTTTTAAGTAAAACGTAAAAAAATAAAACAAAATCCAGTCATAAACTTACCGACAACAGCAAAAGGCCATATTTTATCCACCGCGTCTGCGACGAATACTCCACCGCCGCTGCGAAGGACCCGCTGCTTCTGCGAAAGCTATAGCCAGTGTGATACATGTCAGCATAGGTTATTGATGGAATGACTTAGCTGTTACACTGGAAAATTCATAAGTCCTTATCCGGAGATTGACGAAAAGGAACGAAACGTTGCAATATAATTTATTTATATCGTTATTTATACAGTTGACTGTCAATAAGTCGAGATCGCCTTACGCAAAATCCGCGTAAGTCGAAGAATTTCTTAAGTCCCGTCAAATTTCCTTCTTTATCTTTGTACTTTAAATCCGCCTAGGTCAAATTTACACTTGCTGAGACTCTTGTTTAGTCAGAAGGGAATATTTCGTCCCGTCAATTAAAGTCCAAAATCTATTCCTCTCAAGTAGTCGAAGTGTGAAAACAATCGAATGATCAAAGGTCGGCGACATCAAGATGAGATAATGTTACTCCGGTTCACATGTATCATAGTAATTCATCATGTATTATTATATCGTCGTAAATGTGGCTTTAATCTGTTTTCATTTCTTTGACTCGTGCCAGTCAGTCATTGCACATATGCATACATTTACATGTACTTCCAGCTCACGATATCTGCTACATTCGTTACTGTCCGATGATTAATTCACATTCTCTAAGTATTTAGCATGGTGGCTGATTTGGTACACTTTTCGCATTGCGTAGCGACAACAAAACCTTTATCGCCATCGTCTTCTTGTCTTGTTGTCTTATCGCAAGCGAAACCCGCCAAACGGCGCGTTGTCGCACTCGCACTGTCGTCTTGTCGCTCGCGAAACACGCGTTGTCGTGCAGCGTGTTGTCGCGATGTCACATTGTCGCTCGGCTCAAATCGAAGGATTGGCTATTTGTTTATATATAAACCAAGTGACAGGGCGACATCGCGACAACACGTCGCACAACGCATTTGGCATGCATCGTTAGCGACAAGACATAAGTCTGACAACGCGCGGCTTGGCGCTTCTTCGTGCGGGCGCTAGCGACAAAACGCCACACAAAAGTGTTCCAAATCAGCCACCATAATTTAGACATATTGTTGTTAAATAAATGTGTTATTGTTCTTCTATAGTTATGAATTTTCATGAGTCCTTATTGTAAACAAGTCTTTAAAATTATAACTGATGAATAATGACCAACTTGTTTTGCATTTATGTCATTGCTGCGAATGATTGTGTTTATGTTTCACTATTAATATACATGCATTGAAATTTAAATAATATCTCTCTGTTCATTTATAATTTGTAGTTATAAGCGATTTACCGTCATTTCAAAGGCATTGCCGCTATCAACAATAAAAACCTACGTCTTTGGACATTTTATCAGGCACACATATATATATACATGCACG